ATTGTAGCCCTCTGTGTAAGTAGCAAAGCAAAAGTAGGGGCAAGAGTGGGGCTCTACTTATAGCAACTGACACGGGGTTTTGAAAGGCACCTTGAAGAAGGTGATCATAATTCTTGCAGGGTTGTATCTGGAGATAAGCAAACTCTAAAAATGCTGGTTTTAGCTTCAGCTATAATTGATAACTCCAATTTTCTAGGTTTGGTTTTGCTTTCAGCTATCTGAGCAGCATTATCAATCAAGATTTTCTTTCAGAAATCTATCTTTTGGAGAAAACAGAAAAAGGCAGAAGTTTAAAATTTAAAAAAGACTTGGTCTTGTTTTCAGAATGGATGGGGTTTTCATTTTCACACCTAAGCATTTCTTTCTTAGTAGAGATTGTAGACATCCTTTTTTGTAGGGTGGATCTAAAACAAAAGTGCACATTTCATTCTGGATGCAAATTTCCTAGCTTTATCTTGGGCAGAAGCAAAACCCATAGGGTTTAACACTTCTGGAATTCTGATCTCTATGAGAACAGTTTCACTATCTGGAGTGGAGCGACTAAAGCTTGTAAACAAAAACAATACATATGATATGGTATTCTACTGCAATAGTACACTGGGCAAATAGATGTTATGAACTGTCACAGCACTTTATCCCAATATTGTACAGACATACCGCCTTATTACATGGTAGGTTTAGGCCGCTCCTGGAGCTCTTAACCTCAGGACAGATTGCACGTTAACACCTTTTAAGTGGCTTAGGGCCTTGTCAGACCTGACATTGTAAGCAGAACAAATGTTAATCAGCTTAGTGTTGTTCAGTTTAGTGGAACAGTCACACGTAAAGCTAAGAAAACTTCTCTGACTGGCCCTGATCTGCACAGGTATGACTTGCCACTAGAGCAGGGGCAGGCAAAGTCTGGCCTGTGGTCTGGATCTAGCCGGCAGTAGACTCCATTTTCCAGCAGCCCCTGCCCCCATCTGGGACCAGTTCACAGCTCTTCTCTGACTCTTTGCAGTGGTGACAATGTGGTCCTGAGCCAGGGCAGAGCCACGATCTGCTCCCCTGCCTGGAGTGTGCAGGTTGCAGATCGCAGCTCTGTCCTGGCCCCAACCAAGCTGCTCCCACTGCAAGATCCCAGAGGTACCCGGAGCAGCCCCTGCCCTGCCCTGCCCTACCAGCACCCTACCAGCATAGCTGAGGCTGGTCTCCATGGAAACCCCAGCCTTGCACTATCACAGCGCAGCTGCATCGGGGTCTCCATGGGGAGTCTTATAAGAAAACTCATGAAAAGAAAGTGGCAAATTATAAATGGCTTCTCAAAAGGAGGATTAAAAAGAAAAACTGGGAGCACAACAATGGTCACCAAGGGAAAAGCTTCTTATACAATTTGTGTTAAAGCCAATATAGATGACAAGAAAGATGAAAGTCCAAAATGCAGGATGTCCAGGCCTCAGAGAATATCAGTCAGTCATATAATAAGCAGATATGTCAATCCGGCCAGAAGTGCAGTAGATAAATAGTTAAGGCATCTCACTATAGCTCCAAAGGGATTAGTTTGAACTCTACTTCAGATTTGGGCCAGGCACTGCTACCACTCAGCTCAGCTATAAATGAATATCTAGTCATTCAGGCAGCTAGATATGCTGGTAGCCACATCACTCTTATGTGCCATTGGCAAATGAATCTGTGGTGTTTTAACCACACTAGTCTTACAGGCTGCTAGCAGGGTTGCCAACCCAAGATTTTTTTTTAACTGACAATCTGAAAACTTTTTACTGAAAACTAAGCTTTTTTTACTGACATATGTTTTACATGACACAAATGTAACCTTGGAGGTCAGTAACAGTTAGATTCAAATTTAGGAGTTTAACACCAACATTTAACACAGTCTCACTTGACTTCAGTGATGGCTTTACACCATGCTACCCCCATCCTAGGGGTCCCTTACCCCCAAATCTTGGTACCCATGACAGCACCCCACATGGTGCTGCCCCCATCCCAGTCCACCTCCAACATTACCTCTGATGGCCCTGCTCCCTTTTTTCAGGCATGGACACCCACCCACCCCCTCTCCCCAGTCCCAGCCCCATAGCTCTGCCCATTACAGGCAGGTGATGGGACTCAGTGGCAGCAGGGAAGCAGAGCTAAGGAGGTTCCTATGGACTGCAAAGCCCTAGTGGAGAGCTCTCTGCAGGGTGCTAGGCTGTATTCCTGCTCAAATACAAGGTGTTACTTCTCTGCTCTGTCTGTCTAACAGTTGCATCAAGCGTCATTCTGACAATGTACCCTCAATCAAGCTCACTATTTCTTAGCTTTTTACAGTCAACTCCTTTTTTAATAGACTTTGTTGACAAGCATTTTAAGTCCTCTTTTATAAGAACTGTCCATAAATTTCTGGTCAGTTGCAAACCCTGGCTGCTAGGCTCTCTTGTCATAAGATATGGCATAATGTAAATGCCAGTATTGTGCCCTGGATTATCTGCAAAAAGTGGGGGCTTCAGGTAGGAAAATAGGGGCTGAAACCACAGGCTATAAAAATTATCATGTAGTATGTGTTAATGTGTGTGGAAAAAAACAGAATAAAATATGTTGTTTTTCCCTCAAGTACTGTTTCTGAAGTATATGATAGGGCTGTGTGAAGCTTCAGTTGCTGATTCAATTCAGTGGAGATTCGGCCCAATTCAGTGGCCAAATCCAAATCTAATCAGGAGACTCTTTAATCTCTCTGAGTTGAATTGGAACCCTCCGAATTGATCTGGACAGATTCGGAAAGATTTGACAATTTGGACATAGACACAGCTTCAAATGTTTTTTTTACATACCTTAAGGTACCAGGTGCTCATAAATGCTGAGATGGTGGGGCAGATGCAGCGTCCCACAGGACTGAGGGGCGGGGGGGTGGTCCCCAGCCTGCTCAGTAGCAGACCCAGAAGTGGACCTCCGGTCCACTTCTGGGTCTGCCAGGGAGTGCATGGGGGACCCCCCTGCACCCCCCTGGTTTGGTGACTGGTGCTTCCTGGGTCTGAGGGGGCACCCAGGGTCTCCCCATGGCCAATTGCCAAACTGGGGGGGGCTCAGGGGGGTCCCCGCATGCTCAGCAGTGGACCCAGAAGTGGACCAGAAGTACTTGGTTTGCCGCCAAGCACATGGGGGCCCCCCCATGCTTCTGTGGGACGCTCCATCCAGCCCACCATTGCAGCATTCATGAGTTGTGCCTGGTACCTCGAGGCATATAGAAAAAACATTTAAAGCTGTGTCTATGGCCAAATCGCTGATTCTCCAAATCAGCATCAAATCTTCAGATTCAGATTTGGCCAAATTGAACTGGGACAGTGATCCAAATCAATGAATCAAATCACTGTCTCTGATTCAGGCCAAATCTGAATCCTAACTGAATATAGCCCAATTTGCACACCCCTAGTATATGATAGAAGGCCAGATTTGGAGGTGGGAAGAGGGTAAACAGTGCTTCATTGTGTATTCATCTTTGTTACTGTAGGATATTCTTAATTTGAAAATGCAATAAAAGGATCGCAAATACCATCAGGGCAAGAACTGAAGAAGATCTGGGGCATTGGAAGCATAAGTTTAATACCAACTGTGGGTATTATGTAAGTATTATGTTCCACTACCTTTATTGGAATCTGGTAAGGATATGGGTCTTTCAGAAAGCAACAATTGAGGGGCACTTCTAAAATATCTGCGCAGGTGAAAACATTCTAAACTTGCCGGTCTCTTAATGATTGTGTTCCTTCCAAGATCCCAGGTGGTAGAAGGAAAATAATAATAAAAATCATCTTACAAAGTGCCATAGGCATACACAGAATTATACAAACATAAACTCATGGTGACCGAAAATTAGCTGTAACATACTCTGTTGGTATGCTCCACTTTAATCATTTTTAAGTATTGCAAACTCACATATGCTATAATCTAATAAAAACATATTTCAAATATCCAGAGGCAAGCCTCCCAAATATTAAATCCAATGAAAACTTTCCCTTTTATTCAAAGAAAGAGCAAGAGACATGCAATGAAGTCTTAACTGAATATCCTTTTCAGCAAAGCACTTTGGCACATGCTTAATCTATAGGAAATGTAAGCAAATGCTCAAGCACTTGGCTGGACAGAGATGAACAAACTTAAAAAGAAACATAGGTCTGGAAGCAGACTCTGGTCCATGCTAAAATTACACAGAACCTAAAATGAACCCCTGCTCTATCTAGCTGGGGAGTTAAAGACAGCTGGATATGATGATCTCTTGCATTCTTTTGGCTACAGAAATTAGTGTGCTTTAACCACACTATCCCAATGGCCTGCTAGGGTCAGGAAAGCCATTGACTTGATCTTTGACAGTAGATATGCCTAGAAAAAGGTGTGATAACAGTGTCATAGCATAGAAAGAAAATTTAACTTTCCATCATTTATGTAATATTTAAGAATAATCCTATAGCAGATAGTCTGAGCAACTACTCCATTCTTTTCTGTGTAGCCTGCAGGAAAAAAAAAATAGAAGCAGTTTCACAGCTGCCATTTTAAAGACAGCTTTTTCTAGCCTAATTAGCATTTATGGATCTTCAAGCAGCAATTAAAAAAACTGCCTGTTTTTTATTGGTTTATAAATAATTCTAGGGCTTGCTTTATTATTGTTTGTAGGACATCACACTGAAAAATGCATACAGTTCAAATTCAAATATTGATCTAATCACTTGCGTTGTAGGGTAATTAAGCTACAAAGGTTATTTAAATGAATAAATAGTGAATTGGAACATTTCTTTGGTGGGAACAGACATGTTTATGTGATATCATGACCCTTTTTAATGTTGTTTTTTAGAAAACAGCCTTTTTCATATTTTAGCAATGAGTGTTAAAAGAAATGGTGTTTTATAGCAGAAAAGCAGGTATTGTCATGTAATGGGATCCAAGTTACATTAGCTGTAACAGGACATTATACACATTAAATATACCCAGAACTGCTAGTTGTATAAATTACTATAAAAAGAAAATTTTACTACCTTTCTCACAGTTATGATGCCAACTTGGTAATTAGGATCAGTGTTAACGTCAAAGACATCTAGTCCATCTCCATCCACTAGGTTGTATTTCATTTCAGCATTAATGCCTTCATCCAGGTCCTTAGCAATGACACGGCCCACAATGGAGCTGACCGGAGCAGACTCCAACACATTCATCTGATAATGTTCTGGCATGACAAGTGGAGGAGGAAGGAGGGAAAAGAATCATGAGTAAACCAAAACCTGCATTAATTCAAAGGGCAGACCACAGCTGTCAAACCAAATGGTTTTCTGGGGGCTCCAGTTAAAAGTCCTTTTTTTTCTGGCTGGAAAACCAAAGGGCATCTCCATTTAGGCACCCAAAGAGCATTAGGATTTGTCAATGAGTAGGGTACCGGTCACTCAGAATAAAATGAAAATATAATTAGTGGAAAACTTATCTGCTCTAACAGTGGGCCTGAAGAAAGAAAGAACAACTATACTAAAGAACAGTTTCACAGTTGAATAATTCCATTTAGTTTCATTCTGAATCACTGCTGAGACCTGGTTTTCTCCAGTACCATTTTTTCTAATCTACAGGACTGACCTCTGCAGCTGACGTTGCTTTAAATGTAGGAACAGCATCAAAACCATGCATTAAGTCAGACATGATTAAAAGGGAAAAGAGAAGAAGGAACATGGAAACTACGTGTAGTGGTGGTTTTGCAGAAGGGTTTGGCTGGCAAAGGGAGAGGAGTTAGGAAGTGAAAAAAATAAACAGATAAAGAGGTTAACAAGCAGTGTGGGTATAATTCCTTTTTCAGTTTGTTGGATGAACCATTATGTTGCAAGATATTTTGTTTCAGATTGACTCATACCAAATATTTGCAGTTTTCTCTATAAAACAAACCAGTCAACATTTTTGTTTTTCATTTTTCTTTCAGATAAAACTACTTGCAGAATTTGGCATGAACTTGGACCTTTACAATTCTTGGTGACTGAACTGTATGAAAACACCTGATAATTTTCACTCATTTATTTTAACAGCACTAAAAATAACTGGGTTTTCAGTCCATTTACCTAAGGCAATAGCTGTCCAACTGGCAGCCCACAGGATGCATCCTGCGTCTCCGGAGCTACTGGTTCAGGTGCTGGGTGTCATCTCCTTCCTCCTACTTTTCCTTCCTGCCTCTGGCCCTGGAGGTTGGGCAGGGCACTGGAGCCCATGGGGCTGAAGGAATCCATGGCCGGGAGGCTTGGTGAGACCCAGGAAACCCATGTGATGTGGTGCAGTGCATTAGTATGGGACAGCGAAAGGAGGCACCTGCCATGCAGTGCAGCAGGAGGCGGGGCAGGTGGCGTGGCACGCAGGACACAGGGGTGCTGGCATGGTGACTGGGGCAACCTATGGTACAATTGGGGGTGGTGCCTGTGGAACGCCACGGCAATTAGTGTGCATGGCATGTGGTTAGTGGGGCATGCGGCCCATACAGTGTGTAGCCTGGAAGCATACAACCCCTGGCTTGTAGCCCTTGATTACTCAGAAGTTGGACAGCCCTGATCTGAGGAACCATGGGGATTACTTAAAGACCACTGAAGTCAATGGGAATTTTTCTATTAACTTTGGTAGGTTTAAGTCTTTAGTCAAGTCATTAGGAAAAACAAAGGGAGAGGTAGACAAAGTGGGCCATATCTTGCTTTCAGTTACACTGGTATAAATGCAAAGTAACTTTTCTGAAACCAACAGTGCTATTCTGGGTTTACCTTGCAGTAACTGTGAGAAGAATTTGTGTTACATTTTAAATATATTTACGTGATTTCTGTTGAACTTTTGCTGGAGCATAGTCTGCATACAAATCCATCCTGTACTACTCAATACAAATAACAGGCTTTCTTCACCAAAAGAGATAAAATGGAGCACAAAGTGGTTTGCCAACAGCAACACCTTTTATTTTTCCTCCTGCTTGGTGGTATAAATGTCCTCCTAACTATGGATACACCTGGTTAAGAATTTGCTGACAGCATTTTTTATAGGAAAATACTGACTTGTCAAAACCAAATTGTTTGTTGTAAAGGGCTGATTTGGGCAAATCTTATGTGAAAAAAATTTAAAGAAAAGTTTCAAACTGATTGAAATGTCACATTTTCATATTTTCTGGATGCAACTTTAATTTTTTTCAATTCAAAATGACTTTCCATTTCATATTTTAGTTTATTTATTTATATATATATAAAATATATATATATATCTAAAGATCACAATTAAAATGAACATTTTGATTAACCAGATCTGAATTTATTTTCCAGTGTGATGGGATCCCAACAAACTGATGGAATTTTGGCTTTTCTGCCACTGTTTGAGATAGGAAAAAATGTTAAAGTCTCATTGACTATGGAATTCTTTTTACTTTCTGCTTACCACTAGTTATGGATAAATTCAATTTGGAAAGATAATAGAATAAATATACATCATCTCTCTTTCCCCCAACTGTAGCGTCCTAATGCAGCAGATACTTACTCTGTAGGAATCTGGGCGGATTGTCATTGACATCAGAGAGGGTGATGTTGACTGTGGTTGTCCCAGCCAATCCTCCCAGCTGTCCACCCATGTCTTTGGCCTGGATAATCACTTCATAATATTCTTTTGCTTCTCTGTCCATGTTCATTAGAGCTGTCCTAATTAGGCCTGTGAGATTGAGAGGAAAGGAAGTCTTAGGAAGCAAAAAAAATTCCATTTAAATTATAATCACACATCAACCAAAGTCAGTGGACCTATTTCATATTCTCTCTGTGTAAACAAGTCCAAAACCATTCTGAGAAATTTATCTTAGGTTACCAAAGTTTTCAAGTCGAAGTGGATTATTTTAACTGCATTATGCCTTGTGTGGTCACTTTTTCTAGTTAGCTTATTTCCCTTCCAAAGTAGAAAACTACTTTGGAGATGAAGCAAGGAAAAGTGAATTATAGCTATTTTAAGTCTGAATAAGACTATCTGCACAGGGGTTTAATGCAGCTTAACTAATCCAATTTAAAATTTAATTCATATTCAACTTTCTGAGGGTTCTCATGTAGACAAATTGTTCAGCATGAGAACAGAATTTGTGGGCCCTCTCATCTCCATTTTGTTTAAATGGAAAAAATGGTGGTTTATTATTTGCAACTTGGCAACAGGGGCAGGGACTACTACTAGCAATGCTGCTACTGTCCACAGCAAGCCATTTTCTTCTCTGGTAACATTACTGGAAAAGAACATGAGGTGGCAGCAACACTTCTCTTATAGAGCCTAGAAAGAGCCATCCAAAGCAATTACTGCCACTGCTGACTCACTAAAGGAGACTGCTACTTTTGGTTACAAGAGGAGGCTCTATGGATGTTTAGAAAATACTTCCTTATCTTTCTTTCAGTCTCCTGCCTCACGGATCCTGGTAGCATAACTGACCTCTTCTTTATTTAAGCGCTTCTCATGCCCAAGTCAGTACATGCCAACACACACACACATACACTCATACACTCCTCCTAACTCTCTTCCATTTTTTTCTCTTTTTATTTGGTTTGAGGATTTACCAGGAAATCTTTTTTCTTGTCTTTTATTTTAATACACTTGTCTGCCTTTGCAAGATTCTGCCATCCTACATGATGTGCTCACAAGGGCAGAGAAACAAAAGGCATACATACACTTAGAGTTTATTTTCAGCAGTCACATGATATATGAGTTTAATAAAACAGCAATAAAATGATATTGCAGTGGCAATTATCACCGTATAGAACAAGGAAGAAATAGCGACCAATGCAGATCAATTCACGGCACACACACTATTTTAATCTTGTCACTTGTGGTCCTTATGAGGCTGATTCTGCAAGATGTTGAGCATCTCCAGTTAAGTGCTTTAGATCCACAGCTCCCATAAATTTAAATGGGCCTGAACCTATTCAGCTTTCACAAGAGAAGGCTGAGAGGGGATCTGGTAGCCGTTTGCAAACTCACCAGGGAGTACCAGCAGGAATTGGGGGAGGCTCTGTTCTCCCGGGCACCAGCCAGGGTTACTAGGAATAACGGTCACAAATGGTCAAAAAGGATGTGGAGAAGCTTGAGAGGGTGCAGAGGAGAGCCACGTGCATGATCAGAGGTCAGGAAAAGAGATCTTATGATGACAGATTGAGAACAATGGGGCTATTCAGCCTGGAAAAGCGCAGGCTCAGGGGTGATCTGGCGGCCATCTATAAGTTTATTGGGGTGCTCATCAGGATCTGGGGGAACGACTGTTCACCAGAGCCCCCCAAGGGATGACAAGATTGAACTGTCACAAACTCCACTGTGACCAGTTCTGGCTGGACTTAAGAAAGACCTTCTTCACTGTCTCAGCCCCTGAGGTTTGGAACAGACTGTGACCTGAGGCAGTTCAAGCGCCCACTTTGAATGCTTTCAAGACACATTTGGATGCTTATCTTGCTGGGATCCTATGATCCCTGATGACTTCCTGCCCCTTGGGCAGGGGGCTGCACTCGATGATCCTCCAGGGTCCCTTCCATCCCAAATGTCTATGAAATCTATGAAATCTATGAAATTGTTAGAGAGAAGGTTCAGGCTGGACATCAGGAGACATTACTTCACGGTTAGGGCTGCCAGGCTCTGGAATGGGCTCCCAAGTGAGGTGGTGCTCCCTCCTACCTTGGGGGTCTTCAAGAGGAGGCTGGACAGATATTTGGCTGGGGTGATATGACTCCAACACCCATTCCTGCCCAGAGTAGGGGGTCGGACCTGATGATCTGTTTAGGTCCCTTCCGAACCTAAGCACTATGAAACTATGAAAACTTTTTCCTCCTTTATACATCAGCTTAATTGTTAACCCACTTATCCAGGCACTCAAGTCCTTTTTCTGCCTAAGGAGATTCAAACCTACATCATTCATCTCCCACGAGAGTGTTCTCATGCCCAGGCAACAGACTATTCTGATGCGGGAGGCACTCTCAATCTCACCTTTGAAGTCATGCCACTGTGCAGAAAGGAACGAGAGATTAATTAGGCCAGAAGGAACAAGTTAGGGAGCAGAACTCTGTAGGTTATGGGTTAGGACACTGAGCAGAGAGAGATGGTAGGCTTTGGCCCCTGCTCACTGGACTTCTTGTGTTTTACATGAAACAACCATTGTTTAAAATACAGGAAGGCCTGAGGAAGGATACTGTGATACCCAAAAGCTTGCCTATGTCTATACCAACTATGCATTTGGTTCAATAAAAGATATCACCCACAAGAATGCTCGCCTCTTGCATATCTCCTGGACCATCACAGCCATAACATCACCTCAACACTACCAGAAAATGTCTAGTAAGCGCGGCTCAGGACCCAAGATTACTTTCTCAGTGCCCTAATCACTAGGCACCGGATGCATACTGACATAATGAATGTCTCATTCCTCTCTTCACAGAGGCACAGCTATCACAGGAGGGATGGAAAATGCATCCACGCAGAATGTCTTACGTGTGTATGAACAGAGATGAGAGAGAGAGAAATTATATAAATATAAATATGCATGCATTCAGAGACAGAGAGTGTTGTGGAAAACGTAGGGCTACTAATACATACGCTTTTCAAAAGACTAGACTGTATTTTTGCTTGTAGTCTTCTACCCCACTTAGCTTATAGGATTTTCTTACTCAGACATGAGCAACTAGACCTGTGGAAGACTTCAGTGAAATAAGAAAGGCTAAAAGAAATACTAATGGTACCCAAAACACCCAGCTCCAGATGAATTCATATGCATGTTACTGTTGAGAATTTATTTTTGTTCTGTAGGGCCCTACTATAACATGGCCTGAAATCTCTCCTAAAGCTGTTGTATCATGGCTTTTTTATATAAAAACAAGACTTGAGAACCCTATTGTCATTTTTATTCTTTTAAACTTCTTGGGCCTCAGAAGTTTTGCTCTTATATGGCTAAGATCCCTGCTAGATATTACATATATTACACAATTAACTGTTTAATCATGTAATAAATTTAGACCAGCTACACATGCAAAGAAATCATCACATGATACAAATGACTAGCCAGCCATAAAAAGAGTCAACCAGTTTGTGCTTAAAAATGTGTGACAACTCTATAGCTCAGTTCTATCCAGCATTAATTTAAACGTGTAGCAGGGCCCTAAGTGTTGTTTCATGCTAACCTGCATGTGCTTTTAAGGAAGAATGGGGCCAATAGTGAACAGTAAATGAAAGTAGGTGAGATAAATCAGATTTTCTGGCTGATTTCCTATTGAAATCAAATACCTGTCCTGGAGTCCACAGAGAAATATGGTTGGCCCTGGAGAATACTGTAGACTACTCTGGCACTGTTCCCATATGTTGGATCATCAGCATCTGTTGCTGTCACCTGAATAACAGAGGTACCTGAGGAAAAAAAAAAGGGAGAACCCAGTTAAATGTATAGGTCAGGGGAAAATAGATATGGTTCTACCCAGGTTTAATGCTTAAGAAACATTCTATCATACTGGACTTCATCTAGGAATATTTTTTCATGTGCATGAGACTAGTATGCATACCTCATCAGAACTGATGAGAGTTAATACATATAAATCCACCATTTATCACTGAAAAGATAGAAAACCCTTAAACTAGCAGTTCTGTAACTGTGACCTTTGGAGCTTGTGGTTTGCAGAGAACTGGCTGGTTTAGGGTGCTCACTTCTTTTCCTTATTTCTGGCTACTAAGTAATATTAAAAAGAGCAAAAAAGCACTCTGTAGTATACTATTATGACTTCTCTATGTAAAAAAAAATAGTGCTTATAACCTGTGAGTGAAATGCATCTATGGAGAGGCACAACAGGGCAGCTCTGTGCCCTGGGCAGTGAGGCAATGCCAGCTTCTGTGCTGTTGATGGCACAGCACAGCAGTGGCAGAGCTAGGCACCAGTTGCAGTAGCAGCTATTTTTGCAACCCTCCCCACAAAGGTGGCATCTGGGGCTGTTGCCTTTGTTGGTTTCCCCTCCTCCCCTTCTTTCAGTCATGCTACTGCGGTTACATGGGCAAATCCAGATTGCAGCAAGGAGGAATGCAGCCGGATCCCCTTTAACTGTGTTGGATGTGCACTGAGCTGAGCTGAATTCAGCAGCAGGGCAAAAGAGGGGATGAGTGCCAGTGGCACTCATCTCCTGGACTCTGGAGCTGTGTGAAAGCTGGAGATCCCTGCGCACATGCCAGTCAGCTGGTGATCTGAGAGCTCAGGGCACTTGTATGGCTCTGGTAGGAGCTGTGCTGACACATTGTTTTGCGCAGAGAGCTCACTGCGTATATGCCACACAACCAAAGCTTATTGCGGCCTCATTGCTGCACACTGCTAGATCCACCCCTGTGTGTCTATGAGGTGATCTCTCTGGTAAACTAGGGCTTAGACTATGAAGATATCTGAAAACTCTGGCTTGCTAAATAAAATATAAACTCACATGAAGTTTAAACTACACCACACCTGCATGGCTAAGCAATGACCTACTCAGTAAAACAGTATTTCAGTATGGTTTTGTTCATGCATTTAAAGGACTGTAAATATCTAGAGATTGTCCTTCTGAAGCATTTGTTGGTACCTAAATAAATAGAGATATCTTTTCTATTCATTGATTTTCAAGGGACCTTATCTCTCAAGTTAACTGTAGCTCTGTAGGCTATCTAATCTTCTAAGAACTTTGATATGGTGGAATATAATTACTTCCAATATATTTTTTCCGGTGTCTCCCCTTTTATCTAGAGATAGTACCTTATGAATCCATCTATCCCTCTATCTAATATTCCATGATGAAAAACAACTTCTCTCATGTTATTTTATAAGGGTTGGAAAACTAATCCTAGACCTAACCACGCATGAAATCCAGAAAACTTTAGACCTTGGTGTAACTTTTATGGCTCAAGTTCACCTCTAGCTTTATGTCTAAGTTACTAATGTGAAGTGGAAACTTGGCTGTATATTCATTCTATATGATTTAAGTAGCACTATATATTTATCAATATGTCACCAGAAAGCAATTATTATCTCCAAAGAAATGGAAATGCAATAGGAGAAAACTAGAACAACAAAAAAAGACAGTATTGTTCATTTAGTAGACAATTTCTAGGGAGAGTTGGTTTTTTGAACCCCTCAGATCCTAGGAAGGCAGCTATTTGTATTCTGCTGCACTGCAAAAAAGCCTTAGTATCTTCTAATTTTCAACTTTTTTATACATCACAAAATACTTACAGACCTACCTGAACTATGTTCAGCAGAAACCCAGATAGGGTTGGAGTTGGGACGCAGTATCAAAGGTGGCTTAAAGCTTCCCCCCCCAAAAAAAACAAATCTAGGGGCAGCTAGATGCTGCTTGTCAGGCACTCAGAGCAGCTATAATTTTTGCTTGCTAGTAAGGGATACCAAAGAGGCTATTACACACCTGCATGTTGTCAGACCACAGGGCATTCAAGCCCTTTCTTACCTCCTGTGTGCTCTTTCCCCTGCTTCCCCTTCCCCCCCACCCCTGTTCATTATAACGTGACCTCTTGCCTGAGCAGGGCCAATACACTTGCTTTATAGTAGCCAAGGCTGTTTTAGGGAAGCTCTCCAACATTGTTGCATTGCTCTCCTGTAACACTGAAAGGCCAAGGTAGAGTCTGTGAGGCACTGGCTGGTTTGGGTATAATTAGATCATTTGGAAAATTATGTTCTTAAATCCACCTTACCCACTGGTGACATTTCTGGAACAGAAGCTACATAAGGTCCATCCAGAAATTTAGGTTCATTGTCATTGATATCTTGGATTTTGATAATGAACTCTGACTCTGGTTCCATTGGCCTGCCTGTCCGTCTGTCCAGGGCCTGTGCCCTCAGTGTATACTGGGATCTTTCTTCTCGGTCCAGTCTCTGAATGGCATGAATGTCCCCAGTCGTATCATCAATTGTAAATACAATGCCAGCTCCTTCTCCTGAAAGAATGTATTTGATTGATCCATCCCCTCTGTCCATATCAGAATGAAGCTGCAAAAATTAATGGGAACCAATTAGACGATGAGCATGGAGTGCCTGCAGTGAAAGACATATTGCCAATTACTTTTCAGAACACTTTGGTCCCACTATTAAGATTCAATAGCTGGCTGTAGAAGCATTTCTTTTGCGTTGACAGATACAAATATTCGGTAAAAGTTATCTGGTTCTAGAAACTTATGCAAATATTCAGTAAAAGTTCATGTAACCAAGATGCAATGTTGAGGTTAAATGCTACATCAGTCATCCCCCAAAACTGCACTCTGCTAAAAGGAGCAGATTCAGACAACCAAAGAAGAACACTTGCTTGGCCTGATTCAAAGCTCCTTGAAGTCTACGGGAGTCTTTCTATCGACTGCATAATGACTTTATACTTGCCGAGTGACTCAAGAGGGGCAAGGCTGCTGCTCATAAAATATGACTATGTATATCATAGACCAAAGAATACGGACTAAAGAGAAAATAAAATAAGGACACTAGGGAGCAAAGAAGTAACAGAACTCAATAATTGCTGTGTTGCAAAACTCCCTTAAAAATCATTTCTGATAAGAAAATAGAAGAAAAGTTGTCGGACAAATAAAAATGTAAGCTAAGCAGCTGAATACATACACAAACCACCACACACAAAAGATATGCAGCCCAAGTTTTAAAGGGAATTAACAAATGAACTTACTGCATGACTGATAGATAATTAATTTTAGGAAGCCGAGGATAACTGGGGATGTAACAGAGTAAGGAAGAAACATAAGTGTAGTACTAATTCTTTTTTTTTTTTACAACAGGAAGGAGAATTATTCTGGTAACTGAGCATGTGCTAAGCATGAGAAATACTGGAATGAATGTTAAGGATCAAACAAATCACATCATTTCAATGGGACTTCAGATACATTTAAAGCTAAACTCCTGTTTAAACGCTTGGCTGGAGTGGAGCCTTACTGCCCACTGAGGTGGCACAAGATCAAACCTCAAACGCTTGAAAGTAAAAAAAAAAGTTATATACAGTAATCATCAGAATGGGTTTATAATAGGGCTGGCAAATGATTTAAAAATTTGATAGCGATTAGTGGCAAGATAAAAAAAATTAGTCACAATTAATTGCAATTTTACTCACATAGCTAAAAACTCAAAATTATGTGCAGAAAAACTCAAAATTACTGTATGCAAAATTATGCGGGTACTTTGTATGTTTTGGGGGTCAGTGTGGTATATGTGTGTATTGGGGGGAAATTTGTGAAGGTGTGGAGGGCTGTGTGTGTGTAGGGGAGGGGGGTGTTGGAGCCTGGGGAGTGGGGGAATTGCTGCAGGGGGGTCTGGAGACCAGGGAGGGAGGACCCCTGCATGCCTTAGCAGGATGTGGGGTACTGTGGGTCAGGAATGAGGGGCAGCAGCAAATCTGGGAAAGCTGTGGCTTGGGAGTGAGGGGCAGGGCACAGGCATGTCACTGCCTCACCCAATCATATTTCTGCCCCCCCACAGGGTGTCCCCTTTTTTGAAACTGGAAATATGGTAACAACCCTACAGGAATGTAGCTCCATGGCATGTAAAGCAGCACCCAGCAGATAAGTTGGGGGAGAGGGAAGGAGTTGTGGGCCAGATCGAGGCCCCCATGGTGAGGGAGGGAGTGGGGTAGGGGGAGGGGCAGGGGCTGGGGTGAATGGGACCTTGGGGCTGGGGCCAGGACAGGTCATGGGATAGAGCTGCAGGAGGCTTATCCAGGGGCACACACCCTTATGGGGGGCATGTGGCCCCCCAGATTTGTGCAAGGGACAGAGGTGGGCTGCCCACTGTGGGCTGGGGCTCTGTGCCCTGCTGCCTTTGCCCTGGGAGCCGCATGCTGACTCATCCTGTGCTTATCCAGCAGCTGGAGGCACAACATGGTATTGCATAGCTCCCAGGATAAAGCAGGATAATAGACTGCAGGATCCCAAGACAGAAGGCTTTCTCCCAAGCGAAATGCTATGTCTGTTTATAGTCAAAGAGAATTAAATTAAAAAGGAAGGCAGGCAGGCAGGCAAGCATAGATAGAAAAGCACAACACAATCCTGATGGTGTCATCTTTTCGGTCATGGAGAATTCTCACTACAAAAATGGTGGGATCCCCAGCTGCAGGCATTTAAAAGTAGTCTAGACAATACAATAGAGACATACCATATGGAACAACCTTGGCTTTCATGACAGTCCAAACTGTAATTTTAGGAAGAAAGATTAATTATCTAATTACCTTATCTGATCTAACTCCTTTGGGCCACATCCTCAGGTGAAAGTCAGTGAGACACTTCACCTTCAACTATGAAATAGTGCTGCAAATCTGGCCGCCTGATTCTTTTTTGTTCACAATCCCATCAAAGCACAATATATGACCTACACAAGCTTTGAGCCGACCCTAATTGACTCCAATGGAAGTTTCACATTATTCTGGATAAGAACCACATTGGGGCTCTGAATTAGCACTGCTTCTACCAGCAACTGAAGTGGAATACTTTACACAACAGTCACATCTGTATTCAGCTAACCTATATGTTCTAAGCAAGCACAAGCATTTCCTTAAAGGATGTTGAAATTACATTACTGAGCCACTAGCTTTATTCTATAATCAACCTTGCATCACACTGTGAAAAACATATATTAAAATCATGTACCTTCTGTTACTTTTAAAAAGTGTTAAAAGCACATTTTAGGTTTACTCCCATTTAGACTTTATATCTTACTCTGTATGTAAAAGTTACAGCTGAGACCTCTTTTTATGAGGCTCCAAAATGGCTGTAAGAAGCAAAGGTACAGATTGTGACAATTAACTTGTCGGGTAATTGATATTTCATTTAATCACTTTGCTACAGGTCTCTGCTTTGGCTACTGTGAACTTAGGCAGTATTCTTTGGAGCCTTGACCTTTCAGTGGAAGGCTGGTATTTCTTCACAGATGCATCAGTTTAAAGTAGGTAGGAAACCAGTAATATTTGGCAGCAGAAAAGCAGTTAAACCAAGATGACTGCTACATATATCAAGTCATACACAGGCACTCAACTACAAAGTGATGTATCTTCAGGAAACACTATTTGCTCTGTACTCTTAGAAGTCAGAGAACATCATTGTAGGAGCTAGTAACCAGGACTTTTCCAGAAAGACAGCATTTTAGCATGGTGGATTGATCCAGAACCAATACACTGTGTCTTGAGGGACATTTGGTTCAGTGAGTATGGCCACTTGAGTAGGTCCAGCTGATACACCTAACTGGGGAAAGAAGGAAAGGAAGGAAGGAAGGAGGAGAAATGTTTGTGGTATGTTAATAAAAAAGCCCTGCTTAAGTGGTAAAATGGTGAAATAGAAGTAAAGGCATATTTTAAAATGAGCAGTGAAACTGAAGTGTTCAAGGGACTGAGAGAAAGATACTGAGCCCAACTCATTGCTAAATTACATTCTCGGTCTACGGCTGTATTTGAAATCAAAGCAATCACTCAGGGTGTAAATGAGGAGAGTATTTTGGCTATTAATAACACTATTTACAATGAATAAGGATCTCTGCCTTACTGTATAATAGCGTGTTAGGAACACTGGCTAGAAATGGACATCACTGAATGACGCGGATCAGCCATGCTGTGATGTGTTGTGGCACAGCTGATCTGCTTCACTGGGCAAAATGCATGTTGCCCGTTGTTCCAGGGCATGGTTCAGGCTGAGGAGAGAAGGTAGTAGACACATCCACTGCAATGAAGTGGCAGAATCTATTACCACCTTTTGTCGCGCCACAGATTTTGCTTTCATGTGGTGTAACAAAGGGTACTGATGTCTATTTGCTCAGCATTTGTGCTGCCATAAAAAGATTATGACTTCACAACTGATGTCAGGTGACATCTGTTTTCATCCACTGTGACTCAAGCAGGTTGGCTGGTAATCAAAACTAACACAAGTTCTAGAAAGTAATGATTGAAAAAGAACATACCCTATTATTTGTAGACAAAACATGTCTAGAGCATAAATGTATGCGCGTGTGTGTGTGTGTGTGTGTGTGTGTGTGTGTGTGTGTGTGTGTG